AAACATTTTTTTTTTTTGATTTTTCAAAGGGGGTACTTTTGATCCGACCCTTAAAGACTAATTAAGAATCTTGGATATATACTAAGTGTTCAGTTTTATAGAGACACTCTAGAATGTCTCTATTTAGAAGTCGAATTTTCGTTTCATAATTTCGTCCTCCATCTACCCCCTCTTCCTCCCTATGCAGATGCCTCTCTTCTCTATCTTTTAGTCACAACTGTCCATGTGGGATGTACAATTTTTGTACAAAACTACCCTTTTCGAACGTTTCTTTCCACTCGAGCATCTGTATTTTGCCTTTTATCGTACTCTCTGAACAGGGAGACATCATGGAAGACCCACGTAGAGACGCCGTGCATCGAGCCAGCATCTCCATCAGATCCTTGGTAAATGTGGATATCCAGCAAGGAAGGATCTTTAAAATTGAATCCTTGGAAAAGTGAAGTGGAAAATCCATATAGGATCCTCCTTGTCCCTATCCAACCTCCCTGAATCGGAACAATGCAACTACCTACATAATACCAGGCTATCTATCCATATGGGATGTACTATCTTTGTACAAGTTTCTTCGTCTGCTCGAACAAATATAAAATGCGTCGGTAAAAATAAACAAGTTTGAAAAAAAGGCCAATTCCCTAGGGAACTAGAATGCGGAACATAACAAAAGTTACTCCAGACTTTTACATGTGGGATGTGTGTTATCGCCGGGGATGTACATTGTCTAGTGTACATTTAGCTATTTCAATAACCTGCAAAATGATGCTGACTGTTTCCTTGATGCACGAACTACTATTATTATTGCAACTGTTTTTAGAGTCCTTTAATGTTGTATTTATCTTACGTTTCCGTTTCTACATTTTTTTTGCTCTTTTTCTTTATTTATTTCTGATATACATTTTTCTATCCCATGGAAAAGCGAATTTTTGGTACGCATTGTCAAATCCCTAGGGAGTAAAAGACCTTCGTTCATATAAACAAAAAATGTGCTATTCAATGTGGGACCCAAAACAACATCCAAAACACTCTACTTTTCTTCACTAATTAACCTCACTCCTTATTCGATTTGATTTTATAATTTTGATGTAATGTCTGCAGACACATCGCATCTTATTCTGTAGTCAACAGATAATTTTCTGGCCTAAAACGTTTGTGTCCTCTCAGTAAAAAGTTTGTGAAAGAACATTTGATTTGTAAGTACTTCAATAATTGTTTTATTAAACATTTATAAAAACAAGCATATGTGAGTATTAGTTTTAATTCAGCTATTTCAAAAAAGGTTGAATACTGAATACYGCATACTGAATAGTGCATTCCAAGACCAAAGGGCATTGTGGGTCTCGTGAATTTGAAATAAAAAGTAAATATACAGCAATTAACTCTCTACATGTAGTTAGTATATTGTTTTAGATGGAAAACACTAAAAATAAAATGAATTATTATTATTAATCCTATGCACTTCAGTCTTGGAATGCACTATTCAGTATGCAACCTTTTTTTTGAAATATCTGTATATTTTGATACCAACATATATATAACTATGAATATTTTTAAATATTCTGATTGTATTTAAGAATATAAATTTCAAACTCGATTTTGATTATGATTACACTTTACAAAAATGTATATATTACCATATTGATCTAATAGCCAAAGGAATTCAAATTCCACACACAAGAGATATATAATGTGCATATGAATGACAACCTATCACATAAACACGTTCTCTCGTCGATCTAAATCGAGACACAGTCCACACTCTATATCCTGTGCGGATTCTCCGCATTTCAGAACAATCGTATGTTCTTATTGTAAAACATTCGTCGTTTCTTTTGGATACAAAGTCATGTCTCAGTACCCATTAACACTTGTGGGATGCACTTGTCTAAAACTGCGCATGCTCCATGGATACAACTCTCCTTATGAGCATGACTTTGGCAATTTTCATTTCTATTTACATATTCTTCCAAACATTATTAACTTAAATTTTTCTTTCTATTATGTTTCTTCATTTTTCGGATTTTTCTAAACAAATGTAACAAAAAAAAAAAAAACTGTAACAAATAAAGCTTTCCATCATTTTCATCATTTATGTTTTATACACCGCTAGCTCTCTTATATTATTATATCTATTATATTTACCGTATTTACTCGTTTAAGCGCCGCCCCCGATTTAACGCCACCCTCAAATAAGCGCCGACAAGACCGAAATTATTAATGATGAAAAGGTAAATTATACACCGTGAAAAGATGAAAAAACTTACTGATGTATCGGACGCTAGTCCTTCGTCGGAGTAAAAGAGGACAATTATTAATAAGTGCCGCCCCGAATAAGCACCGCATCTATACAAAAAAAAACACATTGGTATTTTTTAAACGTTTGTATTCACTTTGTACCAAACACAGTACATGAAACCCCCCAAAAAAATTAATAAGCGCCACGGCGCTTAAACGAGTAAATACGGTTTATTGCAGTACACTGAGGGTATTATAAGGATTGTGTATCATGATATATATATTGAATGGTTTACATACACATCTTTTTCATTCTTGATCTCAACTTGAATTCCAATGGCAATCAGGGATAACACAAGAGGAAGACCTGAAGATATAAAGACAGTAAGTCCATCTCATAAACCAGCTGACCGGCCGACCGATCGATTGACCGATAGACAGACAGACAGAGTTAAAGGAGCTAAAAAGCTGTAAAATAGCTCATTTAATTACTGGTCGCTTAGAGAGGTTCGACCACCTTTATTTATCGACCACTCGATAGATTGTTAGCTATGCTGGTCGATATATGGAGGGTAGCTTTCATATACTAACCCCAGCCAAAGACCACGTAGACGATCTCGATGTTGAAACCCGAGGCAAAAACTTCCTTAATCTTTCCATGGATCCGCAGACCGTGAAGCATGAGCCATAAGAATTGCGCAAAAACAGAGAACAGAAGAAGGAACGTGAGGAAGCCACACAAGGTCTAGATTAAAGAAAAATTGAAAATGATATAATTTTGTTATCTTACTCACGTCTAAACGTCAGAGTGCGTGGAGGAACTTGTATGTCTTTTAACAATGGAACCAGGTCACTATTGTATCGAATGGAAGGTTTGGTGAAATCCCTAAAGTCAAGATACTTAACACAATTGTCCCGATAACATCACATGGTCATCAAATTAAAAAATCTAGGGGTAAAAAAGTGGACTTCGTATAAAAAGAGTTGGGATGCTTTTGTGGGTGGGAGAAGGGAGGCGATGGTGTGAAGGAATCGTAACGCCATTTTGAAAGTTGTTTCCGTATAACAAAAGTACTTTTGCATTAAGGTTCTATGAATGTTTGTCAAGACTATCTATCGACTTCTACATGATGGCGTACCTTTTCAGCCTCCACATTAGCACCGATGAGGAAGGCTGTCATCATGACAATGATAGCCACGCAAATGTTCATTCGCATCACCTCTCCTCCATGGATGTTCCTATAGGATCAGGAAAACATATCGTAAATACGTAAAAATGAAAGACTGAGTGACTCAGTGACTCAGTGATGACCAACCGACCAAGTGACTCACTGATAACCAACCGACCAAGAGACTCACTGATGGACAACCGACCAAGTGACTCACTGATGGACAACCGACCAAGTGACTCACTGATGGAAAACCGACCGTTTGACTGGCTTACGGTCCGACCGACCGATCAAGTATAGAACTAACTGACCAAAAAAATATCTCCTAATTTCTTTTCGTTGGCCCTTTCCAAAAGTCCTCTAGAAGTCCATGAACTTCTGCCCTTTCACAAAATACAGGAATTCTGGAATGAAGCTTTGAGGATATTTGCCTATAATATCGTGTACTTACACTTTCCAGACGATGTGAAAGATGGCCAGTAATATCAAGAAGAATGAAATACCAATTCCACTGTACGTGTTGGCCAGCAATGTTAGTTTCTTGTACACAACCTGTTTAAGATAAAAAGTGGATATCAAGGTACGAAATAATATGCCAAAACTTATCCATCAATATCTAATATCCACGATAAAAGATTCGTATTCTTGCCTCTTTCCTGTTGCGTTAGGCCCAAAAGGTGTAAATGAATATGATAATGATGGTGATATATGATAATGATACTGATGATGA